AAGATAAGCAGTGCTCTTTTGCTGGTGTCATTAATGCCATGCTTTTTGTTCACGAAAAGAGGATTACCACCATTGCTTTTACTGAAAGCTGTTGAAATCTAGGTCATAATTTTACATCTGTTTTTCAGTCTAGTTTCAATTGTTAGGAATTCTTGCAAAGTTTCTTTCAAAGTCTCCTAGATAAGGCTTCTTCGGTGTCTGCTACTTGTCCAACAACAGCATTTTTCATTACATCCTAGGCATTTGCAAGATCTCTCTGGTCTCAGAGAAATGCTGGATTAGAAAAGAATTCTCATTACAGTATTAGACTGTCTGTTGAAAAGAGGTTGTTGTGGGTTGTGCTGATAGCTGTAATGCTGTTTACACTGAGCAATATCCTTGTTCATATCTGGGAATTGTAGTCCAAACTGGATTTCTAAGGTATCCCAGCTCTACTCGCTCTGCTTTCATTAGAAAAGGAAAAGCACCAGAAATGTGATGGAACATACTATTCTATTGCCAGCTCTTCTTGGCAATTTTAGACCGTATCATGGCATTGTGATCTTTTTTCTTGTTTCATAAGGTTATAAAGCCTTGAAGGTTTCTATTGGCTTCTGATGTCTGTGTCCTTCAACTGATTTCTATTGAAAAGTCTGATCAGTGAAAGGCTGTTATTTTTATTTAAGGATAAAAAAAGGAGTTAGCAATGAATGAAACTTGAAGACGTGATTTCTTTCTTCTCTTGTTGGCCTATAAAATTTCATCATAGTGGAGGGTAAACCATAACAGTAGGTCAGTGAATTCTATAAGATAGAAAATGCATTGTGATATACATGAAGAGGTGGCCATATAAAACGGACTCGTTTTCTGCATAAGTTTTCCAAATCTGGATATTGAGATTCATAACCCATTATTTGATAATATTGATTCCTGGTGGGTACTTCCAAATGGAGAGTAATTTGTGTATTTCTATTGCGAATTGTTTTGATTACTCTGTCAATTTAGGCTGTAGTAGCCTGTTAATACGTATGAATTTCTTGTTAAAAATTTTTGTGATACTATAAGATGGGGGTAAGATGTGTTGGTTGCAGATGATGCTGTTAGTGGTGGTTAATGGAAAAGAAAAAGAACAAATGGTTAAGTCAAAATACTAAAGACTTCAAAGGCAGTGACTCAAAGATTTGCGTGAGAAGGTAGTAGTTTCTTAATAAGCTTCTTCCAGTGATGTATTGTTTCTTAGGATTATTCTTTTAAGAATTTGCCTGTACATTTATTCTGCTCTTAATTTCTTTGTGCTGTGAATTCTCAGAAGAGCCTTCCAAAACAGTTGACTAATTTTAATGATAATTCTCACTGGACTTACCATGTAGAGTAAGTAGTATAGATCCAACATAAAGGCAACTTTTGATATATTGAGCTTTTGAATTCCAGTCTTCATACTTCTGTTGATTCAAATGTATTTATCTGGCTGTTGCAAGGAAAAGGTTAAAAGTCGAAGACATTTTTCAGGTTTGCTCCGCTCGTATCTAATCTTCATGTAAATGAATGTCTGCATTTTCTTGATGTGTATCAAATCTAATATGTCACCCAGTATGATTTCTGGCAGTTATAATTGACGGTCTGTGAGTACAGGTACTTAGAGTGTGCAATTATAAATCTTCATTAGGTTATTACAGAAGCTGATTTTTCTTTGTCATTCATTAAAGTTACTTTGTTAAAAAAAACTTTCATGAAGCTGTCGATACGGAATTTAGGAAATGGCAAGAACATGCCTATTATGATATACTCCTTCAGAGCTGTTTTATATTCCTTTGTAAAGTCAAAATTTGTTACTTAACTGTTTATATCATTCCAATGAAGAAAGATGGGCCTACTTTTGAAGCTAATGCTCTGTCTTCCACTCTCTTTATTTATCAAGTCAAATGTGTGCTCACTCGTATGTAATCACCTCTCTACCTGCTAGCCGTGCTGCCAATGGCACCCCAGATCTCATTGGTCTTCTTGGCACTCTGCTGGCTCATAGCCAACCTGTTGTCCACCAGGACAGTGAGGTTCTAATGTGCAGAGCACTTCTCCAATAGGTCATCCCTTCACCTGTTCTGATGCGCATGTGGTTATTCCTCCCCAGCTGTAGGACTCTCCTTGTCCTTCAGCAAGGACAAGGGGAAATGATTTTAAACTGAGGCAGGGAAGCTTTAAGTTAGATATTAGGAGGAAGTTTTTCACACAGAGTGTGGTGATGCACTGGAACAGGTTGCCCAAGGAGGTTGTGGATGCCCCATCCCTGGAGGCATTCAAGGCCAGGCTGGATGTGGCTCTGGGCAGCCTGGTCTGCTGGTTGGCGACCCTGCACATAGCAGGGGGTTGAAACTAAATGATCTTTGTGGTCCTTTTCAACCCATGCCATTCTATGATTCTGTGACCCTAAGTTGCCCTTGTTGAGCCACATCAGGTTCCTGAAAGTTAGTTACAGTGTTTGAAATTCTGGAATTATTTAATGCATGTTTTTTATATCTTTGATGTTTAATTGCATCTGTATTTATAATTCTAATCTGGTTTGAACAGTGTACTAAATATTGCAATATGAATAGTGGAGGCTAAAGCCACACATGCAGTTTTTTCAGCATATCACATCCATCTCATTGATGGCTAGTCTTTTATATGTTACTATTTTATTCACAGGCTTATTCTTTGGATACTTTGTCTTTTCTTCTTGATTGGCATAACTAATGTTTTTTATTGCTGTAATAACCGTTTACTGCAAGGTGAGAAATCTACTTTCCAAGTGAACTTACAGTTTCGTAAGCCCTGTCATTTTTCTAGATTTTAAATGGAAGTAAAATTTATGAAAGGGAGACGTATGTATTTTCTTATCCTCAATGGGGAAAGTAATTCTGTAGTTTTCTCCTTTTTTCTCAGCATGTTGCAAGTCCTCTTTGATTCTGTCTTCTTATTTAATAGTAAAAATGCCAAGGATAAACAGGAAATTAAATTACAAAGATTGCTTCTAACCTTTTTGTGGTACATGTTTGCATGTATAAATGTTTTGTATTGTGAGTGTATTAAGCAGAAATGCTTCTGCTGAGTGATTAGTTTGTGTTGCAGCTTCTGTATCTCCCCTTCATAACATTTACAGTTGCTATTATATGAGAGTCCAACAGTGCTCAGTAGAAAACAGGAATTTTGAGTTATTGAAGCAGCAAATAAAGATTTCCTCCCCCCAGCTCCTCCCTTTCACTGGTTAGACAGCAATGCTTGAAGGAATTTCTCCCATATTGGATATTTCCCTTATCATCACAGAGGCTGTAAATAGGTATTTCATTATTCAGTGTTCTGAGGATAATATGCCTATCTATCTTACTTTACATAATTGACTATCTAAAACATATTAAAAGAAAAGTCAGATTTGAAAATGAATAGATAATTCCAAAGAACAGTGTTTTGCTGTTGATTTAATGGTCTCAGAGTAAAGAACTAAATGCTCTGCAAATTATGAGTTTTGTTTGATACAGGCTATGCCTAAATTGGACCACTGACCAGTCTTACTCGTTCTACTGATTTTGGTCTTTATTAGATATTTTAAAGGAAATTAAAACTGCTAGAATTAAAGATCATTAAATGGTTGTTTTTTTAAACTTTACTCTCCCTGTCAACTCTAGGGACTTTTGGCCAGCTATAGTTGAAAAACAGAGGAGAATTTTGGTTGACATTGTTTTGTATTTTACATTTCAAACATTTTTAAGAATGCTACTGTTTATGGATAGAATATATATTTTTTAAAGCTTTAGAAATGTAAGTTTCTTTTCACAGAGTTTCAAAGACTTCTGCTTCTAAAATTTGTCTTGTCCATCCATTCTGCTTCACTTGCTTGTGTCTTCCTGCATTTAGGCTTGGGTTATTTTGTAGACACTTTGCCCCTTATGTGAACTTACGCTTTGATACTACTGTAGTGTCTCTTGTTTGACTATGGCTATTAATGTACTTTGGCATCACCATTTTGCCAAACTAATTGTCTCATGTCAGTACAAATTGTTCTTGGGTTTGTTTTTTGTTTTTTTGTTTTTTGTTTTTTAGTTGCTGTGCTACTTTTAGGCTTAATCTCTAATTTTGCATCTATTTTCATTATTTCCCCCTTTCTTCTTTAGATTATGTCACTGAGCTTTGTTAGTACTCACTCCTGTGACAGATAAGCTGAGGGTATAATGTCTGGTCCATAAGTAAAGGGACTATTCACAGTATACATGTGAAACCTGCGTCTGCACAAGAGACACTGAAGGAAACTGAAGCCCATGAACCTAGGCTGTGGCTTTTATAGTATACATTGAGCAGTGCAGACAAGTTAGCTTAAAAAAGATGGCCTAAAATGAAACTTAGCTATGTGCCTGGATCAAGTCTGAGGTGCAGCCTAGAAATATATTATAAATACATAATATGCATGTGTGTAAATATATATTTAAATTCTGTATGTAATTTAAATGTTCCACACAGTGGCATATCACGAAATTCTCACATCCAAGGTTTTTGAGGCTCCCTGGCTTGGCTGAGGGGGTTTGCCTGGCTGGCATGGCTGAGTGGTTCTCTAGGCCTTGCCTTCCAAACATCAAGGTTCTCCATTTGGTTCTCCATACTGCACTTACACAAAGAGCAGTTTTGTTATGCAGGCAGATGGAACAGTACAAATTGCTGTTTATTTAATAAAATATTTTCTGTCTGGAAAATACAAGAATTTACCAATAACACGGCAGTACTGTTATAAATGGATATGCTTTATTGTAATATCTAACTATCTTGACAAACCTTTTTAGAGCTCTCCTACTTAAAGTTTTTTTTTTTTAAGGCAGCAGTTGAAGATTAAGATAATTCTTGGTTTTCTAGAAACCGCTAGTTGAGATTTCCTTTCCAACAGTACTTCTGAAGCACAGATAAAATGGCTTCCTGCCTGACAGTTTCCTGTATCCATGGCAACCTCACTTTAACTACTTCTTACTTAATTTCCTGAATGAACAGTTGCAAATCCAGGGGCAAAATGTGAGAGCTGTCTGTGATACACAGCAGTATCACTTTTCCAAGTGTTTCGCAGATGGGTATTGTCAGCTGGTAACAGCCTAACAAACTGCAAAACAATGAAAGAACAGAAATAATGAACTTCAGATTTGGGGTAAGGAGTTGTTTCTGCTTATTTTGAATGTAATTCAACTTTGTAAAAGGCAAAATTCAAGCTTTAAATGAAAGGAAACTTGTTGGCACTCCTACTTGAAAGCTATTGAAAAAGCTCTATGTTATTTTTAACTACTTAAAATAGTTAATATGGTATTGTGAATTTACTAGAAGTCGTTATTTTGGCAGCTTTTATTCTATAACCAATTCAGCATTTTCCAGCTATTTCGGCTGTCTCATAGAATCTTACGATCATATAGTAGAATCATCTGCTATTTTGGCAGTGATTTGTTTCACTTTTCTTTTATGTTGATTTTTTTTTTCCATATAGTTCAAACTCATGATAAACTTAAGTTTTACTTTGAAATTGCTTATTTGGCCTCATAGGATAATATATTTAAAATAGCAATCTTGAAAGCAAAACTTGTGTTTTGTTTTGTTTTGTTTTTAAAGAATCCTACAATTTCAAATGAGTAATGTTCATAAACTTTTTTTATCTCTACTAGCAAAGTCAGAAATGAGGGAGAAGGCCAAAGACAGGGCTATGTGTGGACTACAGAGTTTTTCACCCTGCACAAGAGCATTCCTGCATCTCCTTAGTGGCTTTCTTTTGTTGCTGCTCCAGAAGGAGGTTCTTGGCTGTCCAACTCTTTGCCAGCTCTGCACAGGGAGGCAAGTTACCTGTCGTAACTTGGGTCTTTCAAGCATCCCTCGGAACTTCCCTAAAACTACAATTCTTGTATACTTCAGTGGGAATAATATATCTCATGTCATTCCAAATGAATTAACAGGTCTTCAGAAACTTGCTGCACTTTACATGGATAATTCCAGTATTTCATATGTACACCCAAAAGCTTTTGTGGATCTTCCTAAACTTTGCTACTTGCATCTAAATAACAATAATATTAAACGCCTGGATCCAGGAACTTTTGAAGGTCTTTCCAATCTTCATTATTTATACCTTCAGAATAATCAAATAGCTTTTGTTTCCCGAGGATTATTTAGTGATCTTCTTTCTGTTAGATATTTAACACTTCAAAGAAATCGTCTCAGTGTCCTTGGAAGTGGAACTTTCTTGGGAATGAGAAATCTTCAAACACTTAACCTAGCCAATAATAAGATTTCACGGATATCAGATGCAGCGTTTTGTCATCTTGAAAACCTTGTGTGCTTGTTCCTTGAAGGTAACAACTTAACACTTGTGCCATCAAATGCCATTGGAATGCTCAGAAATCTTGAAAGACTTTCTTTATCTCACAATCCTATTAGATCAATACAGCGTTTTGCATTTAAAGGACTTAACAAGCTTAGATATCTGTCTTTAAAAAGTGTAAAGCTACAACATATTGCTGTAAACGGATTTTTTGGATTAAGCAACCTTAGTCAGTTAATCTTAAGTTATAATGATTTAAAAAATATAAATTCCAGCACTTTTACTTCTTTGAATAGTTTAAAGTATCTGCAGTTGGACCGAAATAAAATAACAAGTATTGGTGACAGTGTCTTTGAGAAAATGGGGCAGTCACTTAAAATTCTCAATTTAGCTTTTAATAGTATTACAGAATTGCAACCTAAAGTGCTTAAACCCTTAGTGTCTTTAACTCATCTACACATAAATTATAATCCTTGGAACTGTAGTTGCAAAATGCTTGGGTTACTTAAGTGGCTGGCATCATCTCGCATTTCTGTTAAAATTCTTTGTCAGAATCCACTCAGCATGCGTGGCAGACCGTTGCATTACATCAAGTGGACTCTATTTGCAAACTGCAGTAGCCTCACTGCCAGCCCAGAAGCAGCCTGGAATCTAGAATCCGCAGATACCCATCTCAGCCCTACCACTTTGCTGATGGCATGGCATAAGGGAAACAGTCGCATTCCATTTGAGCAGTTTATTAAGGCTGATACGAAATATATTGCTCTCTGGGAAGGAACTGCAGTTACATCTGCTAGCCCTTTGCCTTATGGAGAAAACACTGCTTCTGAAACTCCTTCACAGGCACCTACAATACTATCAGTTTTACCAGTACAAATACCAGCACAGATTATACCTGTTACCAGAACCATAGAAGTACAAAGTTTGTTTCCAACAGATGCTGCTCCTGTATCGTTACAGACATCTGTACTTTGTACACAACAGGTTGAAAAGCTCAATCAGGCCTTTGATGTTTTGCTAGCCTTTTTCGTTCTGGCTTGTGCTGTGATCTTGTTCCTAACCTACAAAATCATTCACTTTAGACAGAAACTAAAAGTGCTGGAAAACTCAGGGGAGAAGCGAATAGAATATTATGGTTTTTATCAACCTGGCAGATACAACATAAATGACGCAGTGCAGTCTCTAACTGAAAATTCAGCAGGAGATTCAGAATTGGACCAAATTAGGCTGCTCAAGCGAACAGCATCTGAAAGTCAGGCACAGGTCATATTGTTTGAACATTCATCACTGTAATTTACTTCCGTTGATGTCAATTTTACTCCAATCTGAAATGTCGAGAAGTCAAGAATTTGATTTTCCAAAAAAATGAGCTGATTGATAGAATTGTGGAAAATAGTGTAATTTGAGTTTATTTGCTTTCTCAGTGTTCTGAAGTTCATTGATTTTTATTAAATGTCATTTATACCTGATACGGATTACCTATGTTCCTGTTGTAGGATTCTTTCATCTGTAGCGCAAGTATGTGTTCACTAGAGAGAATGTTCATATTATTTATTTTGCAGTACTTATGGGTATTAAGTTTCTGTAGTAATTACATAACTAACTTGAAATTAAAGGCAACTAGATCATAAAACCAAGAAACCTGGGGAATGAAAAGAGCAGTGCTTAATGTATTTATTGCATACACGGTTTCCTGTACTCAGTCTGTATAACAAATATATTAAAATATGATTTTTAATAGTCTGTATTTGTATCATTTTGTGGTCATAACTTATTAGGAGTTAATATGGAAGCTAAATATTGGATTCAAAAATTGATAACATTTGTAATGTCTCTGAAATGGTTAATTATTGTCTGTAAAAAGATGATGTCATCTACATAGTGAAGTTTGAGGGAGTCTTTGGCTAGATGAGGGGTATAAACTGAAGAAATCTATTGAGAATACTTAAGTATTTGTGTATTTTGAAATGTTAGATCAAAATATGTTTTCTAAGTGAAGACTAGATTCTAGGATTGTGCTTGAAATGATGGGTATTATGCAAACCATGTAGTTTGCATTTGTTTAAACTTCTACATTTTTATTTAGAATATTGATGTGTGGGATGCTTTAGGGTTTCTGGCTCCAGCCTGACTTCTGCTAGCATAACTAATGTGCATGGCCATGTTGTTGAATTCCTTATCACCCCATTTGTTTGTTTCCAATGCATTTCCAGGAATGACAAGATATTTTCTGCTGGCAGTACAAATGTAGACCTTGCCTGTACTATTACAGGTGTGAATGTGGAAGTCTACACTGTGTTCCTCTGTTGTTGCTTGCTACGTCTTTCTACTGGATGTAACAAAATCTGAGTTTTGTTGAGATTTACTTTCATTGTATTGTAGTGCTGTATTTTACTCTAATGTATAATAGGTGAACTATTTCTGTCTTACGGAATGCTTAATTCTACTAGTTGGGCAAAAGCTTAAACTGTTTTGAGTTTCGTGACTAGAAACTTTGTTTTATATATTCCTTTATAGCCATAAATATTAAATGTAGTGTGCTTTTTTGTTTGTTTCTTAAGGGGAGAAAATGCTAATTACTCTCAAATTCATGCTTAATTTTTTAACTCCAATACAGTGCTTTACTCCTTAACCCCTTTTTATCCTTCCTACATAATTGGTTGCAGCAAGTGTTAAGTTTATTAGGCTTTTTTGTGTTTTGAATTGTTTTTATTTTCATTTAATAACAGCTACACTGTGTGTAATTCTACAGTAGTAAGTTTGGTTGTCTTAAGTTCTTTGTCTGTAAACTTTCAATTTTATATGGCTGTCTTCCGAAATAACGGTCTTTATTAGCACCTGAGTGATGATCATTCTAGTCAAAGCTAATTAAATAGGTTTTCTTAAGCAGTAATGCTGATGTGCCCATGTGGGAGAGGACTTCATGGGAGTGGGTGAAGGCTGGGAAAGAACAAGCCCAATTCTGAAGCCTGAGAGACTGCTTGCTTCTGAGCTGTTCTCAGCAGAAGACCACAGTTCCCTCTGAAGGTGTTTCCTTTTCACTGACAAGCTTCTGTAGGAATCATCTTCCAGATGTGCGTCCTATCATTTCCAGTGTTTCAGTTTAAATGAAATTGATACTGCCAGCATCATTTCTGTAAGTTTTGCTGGGACAATCGAAGCTATCTTATGGAGAGGAGTCATCCTCCAATAACCAACTTGAGAAAAATTTCCAGCTTTGCTGTACAGAGAATTTGAGGGATGTAACTGTGGGAAAGTGCAGTCAGTAACTGCCAAGTTAAATGTTCACACTAGGAAACAGGAATACTGTGTGTGTGGTTCATATGTCTGTTTAAATCACTGGAGAATACAGAATTCAGAAGTCTCAGTAATGCCTGCCCACATGAAGCAAAATGGTCTATAGCCTTCCACTTAGTCACAGTCCCTTATTAGATTCTCATTTGTAAAGCTCATTATCAAGTTTACAGTCAGCCATACGGTTCCCCTGGAAATGCTGTCTTAGATGTGTCGTTATCATTTTAGGAGCTCTGTAGCACTGCACAGCATCTAGAGGAGAAAAAAAATAATTGTTTACATTGCTCATAGCACGTAAAAAGTAAACACCATTTGTGCCCTTCAATCTCTTCCCACTGCTAATGAAATAAGAATAAATAATTTATTAATCTATCTTGAATTAACACCAGTAAAGATATGATGCTCGTCCCTTTTTCTATTTTTGCTGCTTCATCCTGGCAAAAGAGAAAATCTCTGCTTTTCTACTGCTTCCTTTTAATGTTTAGAAGAGAAAGGTATGTCTGCAATTAGGTATGCTTGCCAGTAAGAATGTTTTCTCCGTTTCTGATAGACCAAGAAAGATGTATAGGAGACATGAAGACTATTTTATTTACATACTACTAGCAATTTGTTATCATCTATGCTATTTAACTGAAATCCAAAGTTGCTGTAGTGATAGTTGTCGCAGAAAACACTGGGTAAAAATTTTGAATGGATAGCTTGAATGAGTTGGAAATGGCAGAACTTCCTTTTATCTCACGGAATTTGCAAACTTTGAAATGAAAAACGAACATGTTCAACCTGTCGCAAATAGGTTTGTTGCATTTTTTATTAGAGACAAGTTGATTATTATTATTATTATTATTATTTTAAGTAGGTAACATGAAAGATCCCTTTTGTAATTACAAAAATAAGGTCTTAAGTGCATCATTGGAACTGGATCCTGGACTGGTTTAAATCCTGACTACCAACTTCATACAAGCTGTAAACGTCAAATTCCAGGCCTGTCCCTTGATAATTCTTGATATGTACCAAACTAGGTTTTGTCCTGATGACTTAAAGGACCTTGGGGTAGTTAGAAAATCAGTTATAACTTTATGCTGTTACTTATTATGCTACTGACCTTGATTAGATGCAATTGAAAGGTGGAACTGCTTAAAGGCTGCCTTCAGCCTGAGCTGAGATTTTTTTGTATGGACCGTGTTAACTGTTCAGTTTCACAATGAAAGTTCAGCAAAATATGTTGTCCATTTCTTTTCTGAAGCCACTCTTGAGAACTTTCCAGCATGTTTCTTAAAACAACCAGTCTAATTTTAGACTTCTAAAAAGAGATTTCCTTGATTTGCGAGGCTCTTTCCCTTTCTTCCATGAAAATGACACCTGACATCTCATTGTGTTGCTGCTGAACTTTATCCCAAGTTTTTTTTTGTTGTGGTTTTGTTTTTTTTAAACCGCAGTAAACATATGCTGCCTTTATTTTCCCCCAGCATATGTCTTACATTCTAAAAATAGTTCTATTGTTTAATGATTTTGGACTTGATAAATGTTTTGGGGAGTGTCTGATAGGAAGAAACTGTCTCCTTTCAAGAGGAAAAGGAAGGGAAAAAAGATGGTTTTATCTTCACTGAAAACTGCGGGTAGCTGTTAGATTATTTTGAGAGGCCTTCTGTATTCTGTGGCACTGCTTTCCTCAGGAAAATTATCGTTACATTTCTATTATTCACTTCAAAAAGAAGTAAAATAATGTCTCTATTTTATGCTACAAGATAAAAATAGCATTTTAAAGTAAAGAAAACTGATTTCTCAGCACGCTCTGCAGTTAATTATCAGGAGCTGTATTTTGAATTTTTAGCCACCTTCTTCAGTTTCTTCTGGATATATCACAGATCACTGGATACACGAGTTAACTGAAAAGGGACTCCCTCCCTCTGTGCTTTTCCTATTAGTCTGCAAGCCTGGCAGAGATGAAAAAGAAAAAAAAAAAGTTAATGAGCACTGTGCTTACTTTTTTATATTTTGGTTAATTAACATAACTCACTTGTATAGATTGACCATAATTAGCACTTGCAGCAGATGAAAAGGCTGTGCCTACTTTGGGTTAAACATTTTCCTCTCTCCTCTCCCCTCCAAGTAAAATTATGCAGTTCCTCTGGCAATTAGACATTCTTCATGTGGCTTGAAAGGAACAAATTCAGCTACCAGGTAGCTGATAGAACTACGCTATTAAAATGGTGCATACTTACAGAGAGTAGTGTACTCCTCCGAGGTGGAGTATTCTTGGTTGAATTCCCCACATCCTCTTTTGAAAGGAATGTGAGGACAGCTGTTTCCTTTCTTACAATGGAAAATACTAACCACGCTAATGGGGATTTTCCTAGATGTATGTTGTTAAAGGAGAAAAAAAAAAAAAAGTATGAAGAGAAAAAGCTTTAATGAAGGTAGGTGTGCTTTGTAGAAATCTAACTGAACTGAAGAAATTCTCAACTCTGAGGACTTATTCTGCAGTCTGCTAAACAGGCTGTGCTCATTTTCTTTAGGTTGTTTGTTTTCTCCTTTGGATGAGGTAGGGAAGCTGTTTGGCAAGGAACAAAGTCTTTTCTAAAATGTAAGTGGCAACAATAAGAGGCCAGACTGAAGGAAAATTCCATCAGTTTTCATCCCTGAAAGTGCTGGAGTTTCAGCTTTCAGCATTTAAATATAGTTCTATTCCTGGCAATTGACCTTAGCTGAATAAAATTTATGAAAAAATTTCATTTGAAAAAAAAATGATCATGAGCTGAATCATAATCTTATAAAAACAAAGTTTGAATAAATATTTTAATAGACTTAATATTCAAAACTTGATTGGCTTTTTTTTCCCCAAAGCATCTGTTTTGCAATGTTATATATTTAAGATTTTGTATGTCTGCAGCAACCACCTCTGGGAAAAATGAACCCTGAAATTCTGAAATTGTGCTAATTGAAGTCATTAATCAATAGCAGTGACACACGAAGGAGTTATCGTTTACCATCACTAATCAGACTTTTCAGTTTCTTTGCCAGTAGCTAAAACTGTTTGCTTGCAGAGTGCCTGAACCCTTATATAGCTTACGGGCTAGGAGTCTGTGCATTGATAGCCAAACCCAGAATATCAGAGAATTCAGCAGAAGTGACAGCAGTCAAGAGCTACTTTCCCTTAATTAGAAGCTGCTGGTACCTGCTTTTTCATCTGGGAGTCTGGGAGGTCATGGTTTCATGCCCTTCTCACACTACAGGCATGTGATTTTGCAAGGCAGGGATGTGCATCTAAATGATTTAGGAGATTGGTGTCATTTGGGATGCTTGGATTATCCAACCTGGCCTTCAGCTTCTGTTGGAGAAAGGAAGGTGCTCATCTTTATTTCCTTATTTTTTCAGTCTGTGGTGCTACCTGCCAGCTCTTTGGTCTGGTAATTCAAATGACAGGAGTTAGCTGTGCTTCAGTAGAGCTG